GGTCGCAGTCCTCCTGGCACTTAACAGCATATACAACATTGCTCTGTTTGTGCCGGGGCACCGGATCTTTGGGGTGAACCAGCCTTTGCCGTAATGTGCTTTGGGGTTTGAAAGCCACTGGGACATCATGTTTAGAAAATAAACGTCTCAGTTTCTCCGAAACACCCGCAACATTCGGAAGAGTTAGAATACGCAGTCCTTTTACTTGCAGTCTGCCTCAAGGCTGCACGCACCCCCTGTCAATCAGACAGCACAACCCGCCCTGCTCTGCTTTGATTGGGTAATACTTTGACTGTGGTTCTCTTTATTGGTTGAAAGAACCGTCAGTTTAATCTCTAGGTGGTTTTAAGAAGATTTGTCCTCCTTTCACTTTTAGAAAACACAAACATCCTTTGTGGCGGAGAACTTTAATCTAGGTATTTTTATTTGGTTGTCCACTGGACAACCAGCAGGCAGGACCTGGTTGTCAAAAATGAAAATAGGTTGTCTCGGACAACCTAGAGCCTTATGTCAACCTCTGACTCTGAGAAATGTTCCTCACCGATGCATGGCAGCCCCACCTCTGTCAGTGTGCCCCAGGGTAGCTGTGGCTATAATGTAGTTTGCCATCATCAGTGTGTGAATGTGAGTGTGAATGGGTGAATGTCTGTAAGTGTAAAGCGCTTTGGGGTCCGGAGGGACTTGATAAAGTGCTCTATAAGTTCAGTCCATTTACCATTTTATCTGCAGCTCCTCTGACTTGTGGGGTTCTTTTAGGGTCAATCTTAAGTTCACTGCTATTTAACTTTACATCTTGCCTTTGGAGTTTATTTTTAGAAAATGTAACATTCCTTTTCACTGCTTTGCTTATGATATCCAGGTTTATCTGTCTATTAAGTTTTATAGGGTCACTCCACTGGACCCACTCTCGAACTGTCTAAATGACATTAAAGTTGGGTTAAAACAAAACAAAAAAGAAGTCTTTAGTAAATGTAATACAGTACCTTTGACACTCTTGGCCCCTTGGCTTAGTGACACATGATCTCTTGTTCTTCCTTGTTCATTTTGTTGTTTTACATTTGACTAAATCGTAAAGCCTTTAGTCAACTTTTGTGTTTTTGTGTGCTATATAAATTAGTTGACATTGACATAACTGAGAGGTCTTGTAAGTGCTTAGATTGACATGCAGTTTAGATTAAAATTACACACCCCTAACAATGGAAAGTTGTTAGGGTCTTTGTTTGCCTGGCTCACAAGAGATGTGATCATATGCATGAAGGTGTGAATTAAAGCAAAACTGACTGGAATCAGTGTTAATACTGCAATGTAGGTTTTAGAAAGTTGAAATCTGAAACATCCTCCTCTGTTTAAAGTTGGTTTTACATGTTTGGCATAAATGGCTTCCTTCATCCCCCTTTCAAACCATATGCCTTCTCCTTTCATTTTCTAGGAAACATCTTTCTCGTGAGCCAGGCAAACAAAGACTTTTTTGTTAAGTGAATAACTATCAGTGTTGTTTAGTCTTCAGGCTACTTTCTTCTTCTAATTCCATTGTTTGGCAAGTTCCACTTATCAGTTTGCCTTGCGGTAAGCTTCTGGACTATCTTGCAAAGAAAAAAGGGTTCCTTTCTAGGCTCTATGGTTGTCATATATTTGGATCAATTCTTCAGTCTCCCAAGGATGTATAACTTTCCTGTTCTTTCTTAATACTTTGTTTTCAGTCTTTTTAAAAATTTCAGCAACTTCTTTTTGCAGGTCATCTTCATCAAGATTTTGTTCTAATGTTACATTAAACCGATGACCAATGGTAACTCTAGAAACTTCTTGGACAGCAAGATTTTTCCACTTCTGTAAGTTGAACTTCATTTTGCCAACAGAGGCTTTTGGCAAAAATTTAAGACGTAACTCCAAGGTTTTGAGTAGGCCATGGTCATCTCCATTATGTCATATTATTTAGGCAGCAAACTCAATAGTAACATCACGTTTGTGTGTAAATAAGAAAAAATAAATAGTGTGATGCATTTTTTATTTAATTTGTTTTTAATAGTGTGCATCAGACATTTTTACCGAGCCCATGGCATACAAGAGGGTGAATTTTACATTTCTGAGTTGGTATTTTGATATCTTTTGCAGTTTTTGTGCTGTCATGTTTTTTAAAGTACTTTTGCAGATTTTTCCATGGGATGTTCGGCTGGTCGTTGATGATATTGCCTCCAGATCTCGGAGCATTTTTTTGGTACATGCACAGGTTGTGCATCAGGATGACTTTTTTGGGATCTGGTTTGTAGCTTTTCATGCAAAACATGTTTGTTTGGGGCTTGTCTTTTGGTTTGTGTTCTTGTCTTTCTCTCGTTGTCTTGGAGGCTGAGGGTGGCAGACATGGGTGTGTGGTTGCCGTGGTAGGCCTTTGGCAGTGACTTTGGCATTTTGGTCTTGGTTCTCTGCACTTGCTGTGCAAATCATGCATTGATGTGTGGGCGTTATTTTCCTCTTGGTTGGGACTGTTGCGGGATTGTGTTGTGTTTGGGTTTTGTGTGATGACTGTCAGCAGCACCATGTAAAATTTCTTTAGAAATGTTCTGTTATCGTTATTATAAACATGTGCAATATAATATGATTCATTTTATTATCATTGTCACGGTTATTTACTGTTGATCACCATTTTTAAGCTTTTTTAACTACTATTGTAGATAACTCTTTGATCTGAACACATAACCCTGGTCCTGGCTTCTCTCCATTGGCTTCCTGTTCACCTGAGAATTGATTTTAAGATTTTATTGATGGCTTTTAAAGTTTTTAATGGTCTGGCCCCATCATACAGTATCTATGTGGTCTTCTTAACATCTACACTCCAGTCAGAGCACTCAGGTCTACCAACCAGTTCCTGTTAGATGTTACTAGATCCAAACTGAAATCTAGAGATGATCAGGCTTTTGCAATAGCTGCTCCAAAACTGTGGAACAGTTTTCCTTTTAATATTCGGTCAGCAGAGAATGTTGAGGCTTTTAAATCTTTGCTGAAGACCCATTTATTTTCTTTGGCTTACGTTTAAGATTTGGAGGTTCAGTTAGAGCTTTTTTTTCATATATTGTGTTTCTGTATTGGCATCCATAATTTGGTTGTTTTTTGATGTCTTGACTGAACTGTGAAGCACTTTGGTCAGCTTTTGTTGTTAATGTGCTATACAAATAAATTTGACATTGACATCTGAAATATTCCTTTAGTCAAATATTGCAGAAAGTCTGTTAGGATAAAGTCTGTCAACTTTTAGGTGTCATATATAGCCTAATGCAGGGGTTCTCAAACCTTTTGGGTTTGGGGACCCCTTACAACGGCAAAAACAATTCCAGGGACCCCCTCATAAACGCCATGCTGTTTAATATGATAATTTATTGTCGTTTCAACCCCTAAATGCTATGGGAATATATACTGTATTTTTATTTAGTTTATTATGTTTATTTTATTAGTTCATTGTTCTTCATGCATTTTTTAAAATAAAAAACATATTAACAATTTAGTGAATTTTTTTGAGGACCCCTAAGATACCTCTCACGGACCCCTGGGGGTCCTGGGACCCCAGTTTGAGAACCTCTGGCCTAATGTGTCATGTTGTTGTTGTATTTTGACTATAATTAAACTAAAATATCCACGTTGTTCATATTTTTGATTCACTTGTGTATTCTCATTATAAATGTACAAATCTGACAAGTAGAAGTTGTGTTTTCATGTAAAAGTGTGACTACCTTAAGATGCTGGAGTTGCCGTCGATCGTCATCCAGCTGCCTCCTCTTGTTTTCAATCTCTGTCTGCTTCTTCCTCTTCTCCTATTAAACACATGACGGTTAGTCATAGAAGAGCCAAATGATACTATAGAATTGACAAAGTACAAATTTACAAAAGTAATGAGACTTTTTAATGTTAACATTAATGGAAAATATTACAAATAATATTTCTGCAACTTGTTTTTAATAGTACTGCTAATACTTTCATGAAGGGAATGAAAATTGGACTGGGGAATCTTCACATAAATGCTGAACTCAGTGATAAAGAAGATTTGTTTCTACAGTTTCTCAATATTCGAAAGAATCTCATTCACAGTCTGCCTGGCTTCCATGTATGTATCTGTCTCCAAAACATTGGGCCTCATGCAAGAACCGTTCGTACGCACAGATTTGTTCTTAAGTTGTACGTACGAGTGATTTAGGAGAATTTGTGGCATTCACCAATGTTTTCGTATTCTAAGATTTTTTCAGATACGAACAAAATTC